GGTAAATTTGATAATTTTTTATATTCTTTAGCTAAAAATAAAAATAAGTATATTTGGAGTGGAAAGTTGAAAAAAAAATTAAAAGAGAATGTAAGGGGTGCAATTTCCTCTTTTTTTTTTTGTCTCTGAAACCCATTGCCCCTAACCAAACCTTTCAAGTAAGTGTTCCCCAATTCGTGGGCCAAAAATTTGTAATGGACGACGAAAGCAATCCTAATGTCTGGGCTAAGTTTTGATAAATTGTTAAGATCAAGAATAAGTGTTTGGGCTAAGTTATAAATTGTTAAGATCAAGAATAAGTGTTTTGGGGGAAAAAATTGGAGATTTCGTCCTGTAAGTAGCATCAATTTTAGGTTTGGTCCTCTAAGTTACCAACTTTTAGATGACGTCCCATAAGTGCCAAAAAAACCTGAGATTTAGTCCTGTCACCGGCAAAAGCAGGTCACTTTTACCAGCTAGCCTATGTGGAATTTTACCTATTTTTTTTTTTTTTTTTGCTGAGTTGTAATGCTGACGTGGAATATGATATAATTACAAAAAAATGGAGAGGAGGGGGTTCGAACCTGGGATGATGGACATTGAAAGGAGCTTATGAGCCACTTGACCTAAGAACAATTAGTATTAAAATTTGACTTCAATTATGTATCTATCAATAACGTTTTATCAATAAACAATATATATATATATTAAATAATTATTAAAACTAATACATAATATTTTAAATAACTATTAAAACTAATACAAAATATATTAAATATTTTTTAAAACAAATACATAATTTATTAAATAATTATTAAATACGTAATATATACCATTAAAATTAAATATTATTTAAATACGTAATATATACCATAAAAATTAAATATTATTTACTAAATAAATAAATATGTTACATAATTTATTAAATAAAAATTAGTAATAAATATATTTAATAATATAATTATATTTTTTATTTGTTATATGAATACATTAATATATTAAATAATATACTAATATATATATATATATATATATATATATATATTTATAGGGATTGGTTCCAATACATCCGCTTTTTTAAAATGAGGACGTGAGACCGCATCTTGTCCGTTCTTTCACCATCTAATCTAACGTCCCAGATTAATTCATTATATTAATAATTTTCGCGGGCGGTTCATCTTCTCTTCCACTTTCGCACTTGCACTTTGTTCTGTTGCATTTTCGGTCTTGCTCCTTGTTTCCATTCCATTCTCTTCAACTAGCGATTTCATTTTACTTTTCGTCTGGATTTCTGTTTCGGTTTTATCGTTCGTAGTCTA